AAGGCCGCCGTGTGTTCTGGCGCGGCATCGGCTCGACACGGCATGATGTACAATCAACTTAGCGCCTCCATGCACTTCGCCAAGATGGGCCGGCTCTGATGGAGCGCTTACTGCAGTCTTTCTAGGACCTCTTCGCTGAGCCCCAGGGCTTGCCACCGGTCCGTTCATGTGATCACCGAATCCACCTGCAGCCCAACACAGCACTGGTAGCAGTCTGCCCCTACCGGTATCCACAGCTCCAGAAAGAAGAGCTCGAGTCCCAATGTGCTGCTATGCTGTCCCAGGGCATAATCCGACCAAGTACATCGGCATTTTCAGTGTCGGTGCTGCTGGTCAAGAAGCCGGACTCTTCCTGGTGCTTTTGTGTGGATTATCGCGCCCTCAACGACCGCACAGTCAAGGGCAAGTTCCCCATTCCAGTGGTCGAGGAGCTCCTGGATGAACTCAAAGGCGCCAAATTTTTCACCAAGTTGGATCTCCATTCGGGCTACCATCAAGTCCGGATGCACGCTGATGACATTGAGAAGACGGCCTTCCGCACGCATCATGGGCACTTCGAGTTTTTGGTCATGCCGTTCGGCCTGACCAACGCGCCGGCGACGTTCCAGAGCCTCACGAACACGGTCCTTCAGCCGTACCTGCGTAAGTTCGTATTGGTTTTCTTCGATGACATTCTCATCTACAGCCCTTCATGGACGTCGCACCTCCAGCATGTCAAGGCCGTCCTCACAGCGTTGCGGGAACAGCAGCTGCGCATCAAGCGCAGCAAGTGCTCGTTCGCCGCGTCCTCCGTCGCGTACCTGGGCCACATCATTTCCGTGGACGGGGTGGCCATGGACCAATCCAAGGTGGAGGCAGTGACGTCGTGGCCTCAGCCGCGCTCAGCGCGGGGTCTCCGTGGCTTCCTCGGCTTGGCGGGCTTGGCGGGCTACTACCGCCGCTTCATCAAGGATTTCGGCGCCATCACTGCGCCTCTCACGCAGCTCCTGCGCAAGGACGCTTTTCTGTGGTCTGAGGCGGCAGCAGCCGGCGTTGAAACAAGCGCTGGCTGCGGCTCCGGTTCTCCAATTGCTGGACTTCGAGTTACCCTTCACGGTGGACTGCGATGCATCTGGGTCGGGATTTGGCGCTGTGCTGCACCGGGGCACGGGCGCTATCGCATTCTTCAGCAGGCCGTTCTCGCCCAGGCACATGAAGCTCGCTGCGTACGAGCGGGAACTCATTGGGTTGGTACAAGCTGTTCGGCACTGGAGGCCATACCTTTGGGGGCGTCGCTTCGTCGTGCGCACCGATCACTATGCGCTCAAGTTCCTCCTCGACCAGCGCCTCTCCACCCTGCCTCAACACCAATGGGTCTCCAAGCTGTTCGGCTACGACTTCGCCGTCGAATTTCGGCCGGGGCGCCTGAACGTGGTGGCCGACGCGCTGTCCCGGCGTGACGAGGCTGCTGATCATCTTCACGCCCTGTCAGGACCATCCTTCGACCTCTTCGACAACCTCCACCGCGAGCTCGAGGAGGACACAGCCCTGCGCGCGCTGCGGGACTCGATAGCCGCTGACCGCGGCGCCCCTTGGCGCGTCGTTGACGGCCTCATCCTCCACGGCACCCGCGTCTTCGTGCCGGTGCAGTCGGCGCTGCTGCCCACAGTGCTGGAGCTTGCCCACTCGGTTGGGCATGAGGGCGTTCAGAAGACCCTCCACCGTCTGCGCGCCCAGTTCTACGTTGAGGGTGATCGTGCACAGGTGCGCGACTTTGTGCACGCCTGCGCCGTCTGCCAGAAGAACAAGGTGGACTCCATTCGGCCGGCGGGGCTGCTGCAGCCCCTGGAGGTGCCATCGCAGGTGTGGTCCGACATCTCGCTCGACTTCATCGAAGGACTGCCGCGTGTTAATGGCAAGAGTGTCATTTTGACTGTGGTGGATCGCTTCTCCAAGCATGCGCACTTTATCGCGCTCAGTCATCCGTACACCGCGGCGTCTGTTGCCAAGGCATTCTTCGAGGCCATCGTTCGCCTGCACGGGTTCCCCAACTCCATTGTCAGCGACAGGGACCCCGTGTTCACTGGCAATGTGTGGCGGGATCTGTTCAGGTTGGCGGGGGTCAAGCTCCGCCTCAGTACGGCGTTCCACCCGCAAACTGACGGCCAGTCGGAAGCAGTCAACAAGACCATTGCCATGTATTTGCGCTGCATCACCGGCGACCGCCCCCGTGCATGGTTGGAGTGGCTACCCTGGGCAGAGTACTGCTACAACACGTCGTACCACACTGCCTTACGGACTTCGCCATTTCAGGTTGTTTACGGTCGGCCTCCGCCTGCCTTAATTCCCTATACTGCAGGCACAGCACGCACCGACACCGTCGACGCGCTTCTCTAGGATCGAGACGCTTTCCTGGCTGAGGTGCGCGACCGCCTTCTCCAAGTCCAGGACTATGCCAAGCGCCACTATGACGGCCACCATCGCCCCTTGGAGTTTGCGGTGGGCGATTGGGTGTGGCTCCGCATCCTTCATCGACCGGTGCAGTCGCTGCTGCTGGGGCCGCGGGGCAAGCTCAGCCCGCGGTTCGCCGGCCTGTTCCAGGTGACCGAGCGCATTGGCGACGTCGCTTACCGGCTGTTGTTGCCAGAAGGAGCGCGCATCCACAACGTCTTTCATGTTGGCGTCCTCAAGCCGTTCCGGGGGACCCCTCCAACAGCGCCCCCGGCCCTTCCTCCACTGCGCCACGGCTGTCGCCTCCAGCAACCAGCACGTGCTCTGCGTGCCCAGCTTCGGCGAGGCACTTGGCATGTGTTGATCCAGTGGGCGGCATTGCCTGAAGATGAAGCCACCTGGGAGCCGCTGGATGAATTCCGTGCTGAGTTCCCTACCTTCCAGCTCGAGGACGAGCTGTTCGTCGAGGGGGGGAGTGATGTTATGGTGGGAAAGGTGTACCACCGTCGTAACAAGAAGAGTGGCTAAGGCAGTTGGGTGGGGGCTTGCACCAGAGTGCGGCACCAGGGCCAGGCGTGGGAGCTGGGTTGGGCTCCAGCCGGTTCAATAGGAGATTAGTTATTAAGAGAGCTATTTTAGTTGGAGTTTGTTAAGTCAAGTTTGTTAGCTCTTAGATTTAGGAGAGGTTTGTTATTAAGTTGATATAAGTGTCAAACAATCAAAAGGAATAAAGATCAGCCTGGGATTGAGTTATCTCACCTTGGGTCCTCGGGCGTTACTGTTCATGGTCATCTGTTGTCACCCAGTTCCAGCTAGGCGCTGAACACGGCGCCGCCAGTTCGTCGCCGAGGTTTCAAGCCCTGGCCTTCCATCTCCCACTCCTACGCCCTCAGATCCGTAAGCTCCAACAATCACATTCACCCTATGCTTGGAGATTTGGTCCAGATGCTAGTTTTCTAGCATTTCCACTTCATGCCGCATACCATGCTAGCATCCTGAAGTTCTGATCCCCATTATTTTACCAGTCTAACAATATTTTGTGTTCCAGTATAGCATTGACTTGGGGCTGCCTCTGTTATATACTTGTTTAAGATTTGCAGACTACCATATTCTGCTTATGTATTTTATACACTATGAATCAGGTAATTCTTAGCTTTGAAGAAACGATCACCTTAATGATATGTTTGTTTTGACAACGTGATGCCTGTAGCTATTACCTACTTACTGTTGATAGGAGTATGTTGTTTGATTGATGAAGGTCCAACAAAAATCCTTCCTAGCCTTTTTTTCTTCTTCTTTTGATCCTATATGCAAACCTTGCTCACACTATTCTGCCCTTTTTTTTTCTTGGGATTAGCAGGAGCGTAACATGGCAAAGATTAAACCAAAGGCCTTGCTGGCACAAAGCAAAGTGAATAAGGCTCCTAGCCAAATCAGCGTGGCTACTATCGTTACCTACATGATCCTCGGCATCCTGGTTGTATCCTCTGTTTATGCTGCCTACAAATACTGGATAGGCAAAGGACCAATGGAGGCAGTGGGCACCGAAGGGAATTAGTCCCCAACTATGTAACTGGTTTTGTTGTTGTATCATCCAGTTGGATAGTTTTGGTTGTTGCAGTCCAGTGGTAAATGGTTTGATGGAACATGGGTAGAATGTACGTTGCTGCAATTTTACTGTAACCCTTGGTACATTACATTGATATACATTTTAGATTTCCTTGTTTGATCTGGTTGCCACTGCTGGAACCGTCTTAATGTGAAGTGTGAGCCTGTGATGTTACCCAGTAGTCAGAACTGCACAGGGATTTCTTTGAAGAGGTTCAATGGACTATGCAAAATAAGCCGTCCTGTTCGTTTGGCTTATAAGCCGTATTTTTTCAGCCAACGAACAATATTTTTTTCACACATCAAATCAGCCAATGATACTTTCAGTCATGGTTTATCAGTCAAGCGAACAGCGCAAGCTGTCTCCTGGAAGGCGGAAACTGATGTTTCCCTTAACCATGCAGGAATCACATTGACCTTGATTAGACTGTTGCCCCAGTGGCTAAGGCTAGTGTGAATGGAGGGTTTCGTTTCTCTGTGTTCAAGGCTCTGGTGCTTTTAGATTTGAAGTGAGGAATAAAAGTCGATCTCTCAGTGTACTATTATGGCTGCTCCCTTTTCAACCGAAAACGGCTACAAACGACCCTTACTAAATTGTTTGGTAGGGTTCTTTCGGAGGAGCATGATCCGGAGAAGAGCTTTACTAAACCGGAATCAAATGTGGCATGTAAATTATATAGCCATTTGAAACTATATCTAAAATAAACACAGCCACTTTGACAAATAATATATTTTACTATTTTTTCATATATCGGTAAAAGAACACAATCAACAAGGTGCTTAACGTCAGAATGGGGACCACTGGCAGCAGGCGGCGGGAAGCGGGAGTGAACGCTCGGAAGAGGATGGTATCCGTGGCCCGTTTCCAGGTCCAGGATTAGGATAGCGTCGACACCCGCTAGCCACACAAGACACGGCGATACCTCGTGCCCGGAGGCGCGCGCCACCGCCGGTCCGCCGCCATGCTGATCCCCGCACAGTCGGCACCGGCGCCTCCGTTCTCCTCTCTCCGCTCCATATCGTCACACTACCTCCTCCTTCCGTCCCACTTCCTTCCCCCTGGCGGCGCCAGCGTCCTTCCCCCGCTCCGCCGCGGGGACCTCGCCATCCGCATGGGTGGCGGGCCGCGCACCTACCCCGGCGGCGTGTCCAAGTGGCAGTGGAAGCGGATGCAGGCCAAGAAGGCCCGGCAGCTCCTCAAGGCGCGCCTCGCCCGCGAGCGCCAGCTCTACGAGATGCGCAAGCGCGCCGAGCTCCGCGACGCCGTCGCGCACCTCGAGCGGCCCTGGGACCCGGACTCCTCCTCCGCCGCCGACGCGTCCGCCGTGGCTCCCAACCTGCTCTCCGTCGCGGTCGAGGACCAGCTCAGGGCGCTCGCGGACCGTTTCCACCGCCCCGGCGGCGTCGACCTCTGGAACGACCGCGACGGGCCCCGGGTCTTCGCGTCCCCGGCCACAGGCGCGGCCTCCGCCAGGTTCTTCCCCAGGAACGCCTTCCACAGCATCCAGCCCTACGCGCTCATCAGCGACGGCGGGGAGGCGACCGTGCTGCGTGGCGGTGCGCAGGGTGTTCGTGAGAATGCCGCGGAGGACGAAGCATATAGTGGCATTACTGATCGCGAGGCGGTTGAACTCACAGAAAGGGATGGAACATGGGAGCCGGTGAATGCCCTCAGCGACGCCGATGACAGCATTGCCGGTGACTGGACCTCGGATGATGATGATGACAGCGATGCTATTTCTGAATCAGAGGACATTGGAGATGTCGGTTCTTGGCGCGAGCAAGGAACCGTGGTTAGGAGAAATGGAAGGAGCAATGGTGTGGCAAGATGGGAAGCTGCAGGTGCAGTGGCTGCCGGCAGCAACAACGACAGAGGTTGGAGTGGTAATGCTTTCTTCTCGGACTCAGAACGACCAAGAGAAGGTCATCGTGAGCAAAGATGGCAGGAGAGAAGCACCAGTGCAAGTCCAAGGAAGCAGGCCAGTGGGAGATGGACTGGCTTGAAGGCCACAGCAGGCAGCCATGTCAGGCAGAGGGGGAGAACTGGTGCTGGTTCGTTCTCTGAATCTGAGGTGATCCGCGGTGGCTCGGAGCCGAAATGGAGAGCAAGCAAGGGCAAGAGAGATGACACAAGGAATGGTGCCGGCAGGTGGAATGCTCCTAAGAAGGATTGGATGGCTGATGGGTTTGATTCAAATCCAGACAGTGCAAGAGGGAGGGAACTGGAACCAAGACGGGGAGCTAGAAATAATGCCAACGGCGGGGAGAAGCTGTTGAAGTACTTGAGGGGTGACCCGCACGCAAACAGCAGCAATGGCTTTGCGGAGGATTTGGAGGCACCAAAATGGAAGCCGAGAAGAATGAATCGAGCTAGGAACAACAGTGGTGGCAGAGATGATGACATGGGTGGGAGATTCAGGCGAGGTGAGGATGGCAGAAAGGACGGTGGACGTAAGACGAGCAGGAATGGAGGACGACGGCTCTGGGGAGACGAATACTCGCTACGCCCAACGTCGGAACTGCGCGGCTCTTGGCCGGAGACGGGATCGGATGGATTGTAGGTAGCAGAGACAGACTGACATGATCTATTTATGCTAACTTTTGTAAAACTACACCTCTGTTGAAAAGTAATGTATTGATATTTAGCTTATTTTGCTGCACCGCTGGCCATGTACTCCACCAATCAACAATGAACAGCTCAGCCAAGTTAACTTTAACGGAAACGACCAAGTTCAAGTGGAGACAACACGTGCAAAATCAAATAAGCACATAAAAGATACCCAGGATTCTTGAATTACATGAGCATTGTCAGATCCAGGTACCAAGTATTAGCACAGGGTTTCAAGACAATAGTTGGACCAGTGGGCAAGTCTACCTGGTCACAGATTACAATATGGTCATGGCTGACCTTATGAGCTCAAACTGTAAAAAGATCAACAACACCAGTGCTTGGTAAATTTGGCTCCAGCTACTTGACCTGCAACACATAATATCATCAATTAATCACACGAATATTAAGCAGCTGAGTATTTGTTACGATGAAAACCCAGAGCAAGCTAGCAGCCTGGCCCATGCAGAAACAGATATTGAGCGCAAAACAATCAAGCGTAGAAATGTCAGAAGAAAAAGCAGATTCATAACTAACAAATGAGAAAATCAATAACCAAATCATGAGTAATTCGTTGGATTTCATTTGCAGAGATGTGCTGCAAAGTTTAACCAACCCCAGCATAGTATAAGCAAACACACTCAAAAACTAATGTACTTAATGTAACCAATAGAATTTCAACCAACTATCCTGATTTTAGAATCTTAACAGATCTGTACATAAGATATCCAACTGATCTGCTAATAAGCTACTTTTTATTTCACCAGAACATAACGATAGTGCAATATGAATTGGCACAAACAGAATATTAATAAGTTAGTCACTTAATCCGAGAAGGAGAATATCATTATTTTAATAGCAGCAGGCATTATTGAGGGCCAATAAACATATCAATTATGTAAAACAGGTAGTATCGTCTACCACTAAAATTTAGCAGGGGGATCCAACTAAGATTGAAAGAATATTTATATTTCCTTGTATATAGATAGTAACATGTCATATAGTACAACTAGACAAACACAGCTGATCCTGGGTAGGTTTGTAATAAAGTATATCATGAACAGAATGAGTATGTGTTAACCAATATGCGTGGTGGCTATTCAAAATTTAAAACATACCTGAACAAAACATGTAATTCAGAAGTAATGCAATTTAGTTATTCGTAGTTTACATGCTAGGAAAATACCAAGCACCAATTTAAAACCCCCTATCAGAAGACCTAGCTAAAGTACTTGATCATTCTTGGTGCTAGCTATATGCTGATCAATAAACCCAAAGGACATCTCCATTAAGCAGTTCTAAAGTAATAAACCTCTACGAAAAAAAACTCAGCCATATGTCTGCTTAAGATCATACAATGTATATGCAGCTTACAAAATATTTCGAGCTATTAACCCATGCCTATGGTCATCTATTTCACAAGATCTTTTGGCAGTTCAATACATGCATCTCGACGCAAACGGAAATTTAAATGACTGGAACATATATAGTGGGCAAGAAAATTGAAAGCCTAACCTTAAGCCAGTTTCTCTACAAATGTTTTTTCATTTTATAATTTATATATTCGAAATTTAGCTTGTATACAAAGAACTATTGATTGTTCTTATTACATTTTAGTGCTGTTTGGTTCCCAATTTTGTAACATCCGATTACGTTGAGAAAGTGATACACATACATGTGTTTGGTTCGCATTAAGGGGCTGTTTGGTTCAACTCCAGGCAAGCAAACTTTCCTGGGGCATGTGTGGGCATCCGATTTCGGACACCTGTGGTGTGGGTCGCTAGTCTGCCTGGGAGGGCCCAATCCAAGCAGCCCCTAACCGTAATAGCTTTATCGGATGACAGGCCTATTCAAGCCCGTTACAGCTCCTACTCAAATAGTAACGCAGAATGATACCTCGTGGCTCTCATCGTCCTTCGTACCACCCAGACGTTGCTCAAAAAGACGAACAGGGTTGCTGCTACACAGTTGCCCAGCTACCTCTGCTTGCTCAGGAAGAGCAAGTTCCCGATCGTTGTGGATCCTTGTCGATCCTATCTGATATCTTTCCGTCCCCATCTCTCGGTCCCAATCCCTCTCTGCTTGCAAAAAAGATACCACACTCTGGCTCTGGTCTTCCTCTGTACCACCCAGACCTTGCTTGAAAAGACGGTCACCTAGTCACCTCTCTGCTTGCTCAGCAAAAGCAGTCTCCCTCTCTACACTTGCCATGGTGGCACCAATGACAAAGAACACAGCAGCAGCCATGGTTTCCTTGCAGGTGGACTACAGGGTGGAGTGTCGCAAGGAGTGGAGAGGGGGCTGCCAGAGCTTGTTCAATGGGGAGGTCAACAGCATTGGATGTTTGAGTCTATGTGAGGGTCATGACTGTGCCATGGGATTTGATACCAGGGCAGAACCAAACAATCTCTGCTTTCTAGCATTCCCCTTACATTTGCAGTGCAACTTGATACCATTTACATTAACATTTCCAGCGCACCAAACAAAAACTTTCTTCGTGGTAAGTGATTAGTCTACATTCAAGTGAGTTGGTCCAGAACTAATGGCTTTGATGCCACATTGCCATATAATTAAATTGCCAGACTACTAAATACTGTACTACTCCCTCCGTTACAAATTATAGGTCACTTTGACTTTTTTGGTACATACATTTTGCTATACATCTAGACATATGTTATATCTAGATACATAGCAAAATGAATGTATTAAAAAAGTTAAAGTGACTTATAATTTGGAACGGAGAGAGTAACCACCAGTGGAGAAGATAAATATTTAAGAGTTGCAGTGGTTTGCCATTTCTCTCGAATCTGAAATATTTAAGCTGGTCTGTCACGACTGATAGATACAATACAAGTGGACAAGATAAATGCTTATGGGTCACACCCTTGCAGTCGTGACATGGTGTCGCAAGATTTCTGAAGTCTAATCCTTTCATTTCATAGATATTATGTCTAGTGGTTTACTGGTTCCCGATCAGTATGTCAACATATGCTATTCGACAGAAAATGAATGCATACAGAACACTGGTGCAGGCAAGAGACGCATTCTGGTCCCAAAGCTTTGGTGGACATAATAAGCGCAGGCTAATCACTTCAGTTCAGTTTAATCCAAACAGGGCTGTTGTGTCCAGTGTGCGAATTTATAACCCGATCTAAAGGAAACAATAGAACGCAATCCTGAAAGGACAGATCTACATGAACAAAACCTATCAAATCCCTCCAAATGCATCGTCCAATCCAAGCCTGACCAAACAAACTCATTTCCCCGTGTAAACAGGGGGGCGGGCACGTGTGGAGGCTTACCTTGGAGTCACGGATCCTGCCCGGCGATCTAGTGGTGGTGGTCGCCGGAGGGGCGGTAGAGGCGGTTGTAGGCGGCCTCGCCGACGAGGTAGATCCCGAAGGCGACGATGGCGATGCCGAGCCCCGGTGTGGCGTGGCGCAGCTGGTTCCCCACCATCGGCTGCCTCCTCCACTCGTCCCTCCGCCGGAAAAACTCCCCAGTCGCGTTGAGTCCCTTCCCTCCGCTCGCCATCGCCTCCGCCGCTCTCTCTCTCTCTCCCACAACTGTTCGAAGCAGGAAGATAGGGCAAATGGGTCTCAATGGGTAACCACGCGCACAATAACCCAAGCCCGGCCCGCCCGACCTGGGCTCACACGGCCCAAACCTTGCTGCCCGTGCGACCTGTCCCGTTGTGAATGTGATTGTGACAGCGCGAGTTTCATCTCTCGGCTTCTTTCTGGTTCAGACGTTCAGCAGCTCTATGCCTCTATGGCTCTATCTCATGGCGATGGCGACCTCGTCGGCGCCGCTGCTCCCGAAGCCCGCACTCCGAGCTGCGTCCTCTTCTTCTCTCCACACCCCGAATCCAAGGTCCAGGCGACAGCGAGCCACCCCCGAACAGCACGACCAACATGTCGACAGCAAGTGGCGGAGGCAGCCGAGGGGCCCGCCCCGGCGCGGCGAGGGAGCCAAGAGGCGCCTGCGCAGCCTCATCCAGCGCGAGGAGATCGACGACGCGCTCGCGCTCGTCGACTCCATGGCCTCCGGCGGCAGCGGGAAGTGCCTGCCCGTCGTCCCCTGCAACATCCTCATCAAGCGGCTGTGCTCGGGCGGCCGCGTCGCCGACGCGGAGCGCGTGTTCGCGGCGCTCGGCTCCTCCGCCACTGTCGTCACCTACAACACCATGGTCAATGGGTACTGCCGCGCCGGCCGGATCGAAGACGCGCGCCGCCTCATCAGCGGCATGCCGTTCCCGCCGGACACGTTCACGTTCAACCCGCTCATCCGCGCGCTCTGCGTCCGCGGGCGCGTCCCTGACGCCCTGGCGGTGTTCGACGACATGCTCCACCGGGGATGCTCCCCTAGCGTCGTCACCTACAGCATCCTCCTGGACGCCACCTGCAAGGCGAGCGGCTACAGGCAGGCCATGGTTCTCCTTGACGAGATGCGCGCCAAGGGCTGCGAGCCGGACATCGTCACGTACAATGTCCTCATCAATGCCATGTGCAACGAGGGCGATGTTGATGAAGCTCTGAATGTATTGAGCAACTTGCCGTCCCATGGATGCAAACCTGATGCTGTCACCTACACACCTGTGTTGAAGAGTTTGTGTGGCTCTGAACGGTGGAAGGAGGTTGAGGAGCTCTTCGCTGAGATGGCCAACAACAAATGTGCCCCAGATGAAGTGACATTCAACACAATAGTCACTTCTCTGTGTCAGCAAGGCTTAGTTGATCGTGCAATTAAAGTTGTTGATCACATGTCAGAGCATGGATGCATCCCTGATATTGTCACATATAGCAGTATTCTTGATGGTTTGTGTGATGTAGGGCGTGTTGATGATGCGGTTGAATTGTTAAGCAGACTGAAATCCTACGGGTGCAAACCTGATACAATTGCCTATACCACTGTTTTGAAGGGCCTGTGCAGCATAGAACAATGGGAGCATGCTGAGGAGCTCATGGCTGAGATGGTCTGCAGTGATTGTCCCCCTGATGAAGTGACATTCAACACGATAATTGCTTCTCTATGTCAGAAAGGGTTGGTTGATCGTGCAATCAAAGTGGTTGAACAAATGTCAGAGAATGGTTGCAGCCCTGATATTGTCACATACAATTGTATTATCGATGGTTTGTGCAACGAAAGGTGTATTGATGATGCCATGGAATTGTTAAGCAATCTGCAGTCCTATGGGTGCAAGCCTGATATAGTTACCTTTAACACTTTATTGAAGGGCTTGTGTAGTGTTGACCGGTGGGAGGATGCTGAGCAGCTCATGGTTAATATGATGCACAGTAATTGCCCCCCTGACGAAATGACATTCAATACAGTAATCACTTCTTTATGCCAGAAAGGATTACTTCTGCAAGCAATTGAAACTCTGAAGATAATGGCTGAGAATGGTTGCATTCCAAACTCATCTACCTATAACATAGTAGTTGATGCACTTCTGAAGGCCGGAAAGACTCACGTAGCCCTTGAGCTGCTGAGTGGCATGACAAATGGTATTCCAGATTTGATTACTTATAATACAGTAATTTCTAATATTACCAAGGCCGGGAAAATGGAGGAAGCTCTTGATTTGTTGCGTGTGATGGTCTCTAACGGCCTTTGCCCAGATACGACTACATACAAATCTTTAGCATATGGTATCTGTAGAGAAGATGGAGCTGACAGTGCAATTAGAATGCTCTGCAGAGTGCAAGATATGGGCTTGTTACCTGACACTACATTCTATAATGATATTCTTCTTGGTTTTTGTCAAAATTGGAGAGCAGATCTCGCCATTGATTGCTTTGCTCATATGGTCTCCAGTGGCTGCATGCCTGATGAATCAACCTACATTATACTCCTTGAGGCTCTTGCTTATGATTGTCTTTTGGATGAGGCAAAACAACTTCTAGTCAACCTGTGTTCTCTAGGCGTTCTAGATAAGAGCTTGATTGAGGAAGAAAGCCACTACTCATAGACTGAACATGCATGTTAACCGTGTTCTGGTTGAGTAGTGGGTTCGCTTACTGTGGTACAAAGCGCTGAAATGCTTGCTTTGGATCCTTTCAAATCACGAGGGATTGTGCATACCTTGTATAGATTGGATTCGAAATTTCCGTTCAAAAATTTGTTATCCTACACTTTTCACAGTACTACCAGTCAATTCTCCCCTCCAACAGATGTTCAAGTCTCGTCCTGATTCAGTCGTAATACTAGTAGTTGTAACAGTATGCTAATTGAACAGTTCACCCCTTGTTTTTTCCTTCTTTCAAGTGCTTCTGTTCCAACCTTTCGTTTCACCTTATCTGGGTGGTCGGGTCTAGCTGTAGTGTTAGCAGGAACGTTCAGATATACATTTTTGGTGGCATGTGGTGATGCTGTACAGGTGAAAGTAGCAGCACTTGCTACTTGGTTGCTGGCAAAGTAGCAAGTGGTACATGTAAATTGTTTGAGCTTGCCCAAACCGGTATTGAAAATGGCTAAATACTTTCTGTATGTATTACAGCATTCTGTCTATCATTAAAGTGCTATGCCTCCGGGAGGAACGTGTATGTGACCCCTGTGAGGATGGTCTCAGCTTGACCCCGTTCAGATGGTATGGTTCTAGAGAAATTTAGATGATTCGGAGAAATTCTGGAGGAATTTATAAGAAAAAAACATTGTTCCAAATGAAAAAAAGCGGATCAAACCGAGTTCTAAGGGCACGCGAACGGGGCCGATCGTCAATGTCTGCTCACTAGCTTCGCAAGTTCGCCACAATAACATGCTCAGACCAGGTGATAAACAGGAGGAAATTATCATACACACTAAGCAGCACTTAATTACTGAACATGAGTTTCCAAACTCCAGCAGTTCATCCAACACTACGATGACAGCAGTCAGCCTGTTAACACAAACACATCACCACTAGCTACCATGTCCCTTACCAGTTTACAACACACGACGAGAGAAATACAACAGCCGGCACACGCACCGGTCTGCTAAACAGGTGAAGCGGTTCTAATGACACCGCTTCACTGCTCCTAATGATTCTAAATGCTTTCCGTTAACTGGGAGCAAGTCCTGTCCCAGGGCGCCGTCATTCCCGGCTCCGCTTGGTGCTGCAGCTGGGACACTTGTACTGCTTGATGTGCTCTGCCTTCGCAGGGGTGACGCGGACACACTTGCCATGGAACCACTTCTCGCAGACATCGCAGCAGATCCAGAACTCCCCGTTCGCATAGCTCTCCCCGCAGGACCCACACAGGTACGCCTGGTCCTCCTCCTCTGCGTCCTCATGGCCGCTGTCCTCCTCTTCTTTTGGGTGGGCTGGCTTCACGGGCTTACTGTTAGAATTGGTCTGTTTTGATGGCTGCAAGAGATAGCAGGACAAACGAGCCAGGGGTTGCATCAACAGCATTAGCAAGATGTAATGCATATGGGATGTAGCACATATACACACAAAAGATATTTACTTACTTTAGAGTTAGATTTGCTGCTTTTGCTGCTGCCATTGGGGGCTTTCGATTGCTTCTTAGCAACCCCCGTCACAACTTCATAAACAGTGGGCAGGTTATTAATCATGGTGAAGAGCCTTCTCCTGAAATTTAAATGCCACCAATGATTATCATCTCAATTCTCTTGTTCTCCAATAACTACTCCCCGTGTCCCAAATTATAGGTTGTTTCGGCCTTTCTAGGTACATAGCTTTTGCTATGCAGCTAGATATACACTATGTCTAAGATACATAGTAAAACAATGTATCTAGAAAAGCCAAGCCAACCTAAAATTTGGAACAGAGGTAATAGCTTTCTTTTTTTGGCTACAGAACGGATAAAAGCTGGAACATTTGATACATCTTTACACTAGAATTCGTGGATCCTACCCTAACAACTGCAAGATCAGTAAGCAATTCTATTTAGAAGCACAAATTCAATTTGAAACCTTAACAAGTTAAAATATAACACCACTATCATTTAATCTAGTAAAGAATTTTTTTGATAAAGTAAATAGTTATTACATATTTGGTGAATATCTCCACACAGATGCATAATAACTAGCTACATATTTTTTAAAACAACAACAACAACAAAGCCTTTAAGTCCCAAACAAGTTGGGGTAGGCTAGAGTTGAAACCCAGCAGAAACCATCAAGGTTTAGGCACGTGAATAGCTGTTTTCCAAGCACTCCTATCTAAGGCTAAGTCTTTGGGTATATTCCAACCTTTCAAGTCTCCTTTTATTGCCTCTACCCAAGTCAACTTCGGTCTTCCTCTGCCTCTCTTCACGTTACTATCCTGGCTTAGGATTCCACTACGCACCGGTGCCTCTGGAGATCTCCGTTGGACATGTCCAAACCATCTCAACCGGTGTTGGACAAGCTTTTCTTCAATTGGTGCTACCCCTAATCTATCACATATATCATCGTTCCGAACTCGATCCCTTCTTGTATGACCGCAAATCCAACGCAACATACGCATTTCCGCGACACTTATCTGTTGAACATGTCATTTTTTCGTAGGCCAACATTCTGCACCATACAACATAGCAGGTCTAATCGCCGTCCTATAAAACTTGCCTTTTAGCTTCTGTGGTACCCTTTTGTCACATAGGACACCAGATGCTTTGCGCCACTTCATCCACCCTGCTTTGATTCTATAGCTAACATCTTCATCAATATCCCCGTCTCTCTGTAGCATTGATCATAAATATCGAAAGGTATCCTTTCTAGGCACTACTTGACCTTCCAAACTAATATCTTCCTCCTCCCGAGTAGTAGTACCGAAGTCACATCTCATATACTCAGTTTTAGTTCTACTGAGTCTAAAACCTTTGGACTCCAAAGTCTCCCGCCATAACTCCAGTTTCTGATTCACTCCTGTCCGGCTTTCATCAACTAGCGCTACATCGTCCGCGAAAAGCATACACCAAGGGATGTCCCCTTGTATGTCCCTTGTGACCTCATCCATCACTAAGGCAAACAGATAAGGGCTCAAAGCTGACCCTTGAGGCTACATATATTTTTTTAAATCACATAAATTTTCCAACAAGAGAGAAGTAGGGGTGTCATGAGCAAAAGAATGGTAGATAGATAACTACAGATATAATAAATTGAAATAAATGGAGATTACCTAACTAAGGGAACCCCGTCTCCCCACCTAAAAATGGGACCCCCACAACTGTGGCATAATGGCAGGGAGCCTTCCACTGAGCACATCCTTAAATACTCCTCCCTAGCTCTAAACTCTCCAATTCCCTACATCATTTTCCTAATGCACCACCACAACACTCTTCCCACAAAGCCCCACCAATCCCTCTCCAATCTCCAGTTTCAACGACAGTAACTGATACCTCCACAACCTGTGGAAGCAACATATGCCTCATGAACCACTCCCACATATGCATCTCCCCAACCCGTGGGAGCAGCATATGCATTTCCGCGACAGTAACTGATGCCTCCACAACCTGTGGAAGCAACATATGCATCTCCCCAGCTAGTATACATTTCCCCCTAGTTTGTGTCAAGAAAATATTTTTCCAAAAAAATATGAAATAAATTATGAAAGTAAATCTGTGATCAAAGACATCTGAGTTCCATATTGCAATAAAAAGTATGAAAGGGAAACACAGTTATAGTAAAGGGGTGAAAAAAGTAAAAAAAGGAATTAAACCTTTGCAATGAAAACAAAGCACAAACCTGGCATCTTTATCAATTCCAAAGCGAGCACCAAAGTAGAATGCAACAGACAGGAGCCATGCATCACTATGAACTGCAACTAGAGACAGCCAATCTTTTTCGATCATTCCATCACGTGCAAAGTTTATCCCCAGTGCTGGTTCTGGAAGCTCAGGAGGTACTTCCTCCGCTGGAAGAGTGACCTCCCAAGTCTCATTTGGCAAACCATAAAGGCACAAGTTCTCTTTCTCTGGCACAAGAAGGACAGCATTACGTCAACAGGACAAAACAAAGGAAATGGAATCTAATCTGTTCACATCACCAGTTATGGCATATTACTGAACATCAGTAGACAGCAGAGCAAGGATGCTATTAAAAAAAATGTTAATCAAGTAAAACGGATGCTGCAGTGATGTACGAAGCCACTTTACTCATAACTGTTTTCCATGAATGTACATCAGGATTAGTTGTGGACATTGAGCAATATTAGGCCAGTCACCATTGATGTCTGCATCTGACTTTTATCTTGTCTCCACTTCACACTTCTTCCTACAATTTGTAATTCCTTCTACTAACATACGTTACTTCTCATTCTTTTTTCATACACAGGAGGGCGACCTGGAAAACCAGGTTACCTTATATATCAAGTCAAAGGCACTAGATCAATTTAGTTAGCTTTTATAGTTTTAATCAGATTTCAATCCTCACAGCAGCAGTAACAGATTTGTAGCTCAAAACGACATCTATCTGAGGGTTTAAATGAATAGGTCCATGGTAACCAATGAGTACAATTCATCTCCACTCAGGCTGCAACTTTCAGCAAATACCAACATACACCAACGTGGGCCAAATGATCACGTGTCCCGTCAAGTGATACTGTACTGTGATTGGTCAATCCCCTTTATTACGTAACGTACATGGTCTGTTACATACAACCCAAGCATTATGCATGAAAACGGAAATGCAAATTGGTCAATCACCTTTATTATGTATCGTACGTGGTTTTTACGTTCAACACAAGCATTATGCGTGTCGACGGAAATGCAAATGACCGCAGCTGGAGCATATTCCAGGACTTTAAATTACCTAACCATGACATTTACCAAGCACTTCCTTTAAATGATGTACTCAGCTTAAGGCCTTGAATTGATGATCTAAACACACTGGAGGGCGAAATCAAATTACGAAACATGTGTGGCAGTCACACTGAAACTTACATATCTGACAAAAGTAAAGGGCTAACCAGACCAACTAATCGTCATTAAGAACCCGACGAATCCCTAAACGGCAACCGGATCGAGCTCCATAAACGAACGCCGGATCGGCATATAGTGAAAGGCGAAGCTTAGCACGAGGATACGAGCAGCATAGACGGAAGGAAAAAAAGAGAGGGAGGAACCAAGTCGGGCGCGTCACCTGGATCGCACTGCTGATAGAACTTCTCCACATCTGCGCGCACCACGGAACCAGCAATAGCGTCAGAGAAGCATCCACAAACCAAGAGGACAAAGAGGAGGAGGCTGGAAATGCGTGAGGCTAGCTGACCCGTGGTGAGCGCCTTGACGATGCCGGCGCGGCGCGCGCGGAAATCGCGGAAGACGTCCTCGGGGGAGCGCGTGTGGTGTTGCACCGCCGCAGAGCCTCCTCCTTCGCCGTCCATCGCCGGCCACCGTGTCCCTTGGCTAGGGTTTGGGGAAGCGAGGGCAGCAGCAGTGGTGGTGGTGGACTGGTAGTGGAGGGAGCAGAAGAGGATTAGAAGAGAAGGCGAGGAGCGCAATACCGCGGCGTGTAGGCCTGCGAGAATAGGAGGATTTCAGAGGGGCAATTTGGGAAAAAGCGGAAACCACGAGGTGCTCGGCGTCCAAAACATTTTCCGCTTCGCTTTCAAGGAAGGGAGTAAAAGATAGTGGGCCCGTGAACTGGGCTCGGCTTTCGGCGCACTACAGAAGGCATGGGCCCACCTGGCTGATCAGGATTGGCTTGAAGGACGTGACGTGATTGGGCCGGTTTTTTTCACACCAAATCATGGGCCGCATCTGCTGCAAACGAGCCCATTTGAGTTGCCTTCCGTGTTCCACTTGGCTTGCCGGTTGCGGTTCCTCTTCTTCCGTCGCTCTCGCTCTCGGACTACGGTTCAGCGAAGCAGCTAGGCAATCGTCAGTTTGTCAGCGCAATCTGCAAATGGCGGAGGCGGAGGCGACGGCGGGGCGACTGAGGCTGTACTCGTACTGGCGCAGCACGTGCTCCCACCGCGCCCGCATCGCTCTCAATCTCAAAGGTGCGTGCTGCTCGCTGCTCGCTGCTCGGCCACCGCTTAATCGGACTCGGCCCATCGTCTATTGGACGGATTGAGGGCATTCGGTTGGGTTGATTCGATGTGCGTGCTGTTTCTTTCTGCAGGTGTGGATTACGAGTACAAGGCGGTGAACCTTGTCAAGGGCGAGCAGTCTGATCCAGGTGTGTTGTGTCGGTACTACTACTTACTTGTGCTACCTACTACCTTATGCTACAATTGCTTGAACACCGAGTATGGTTTGGCTGTGTTAATTAAATTGTTCTAGACGATTTTGCGGAACAAAGCTGGTTGCAATAAGGCTATGCAGGGAGTCTTGGTTGGAAAGTCGCTAATAGGTTGATCTCTATGAGAAGCAGAATTCGTCAAGCTTAATCCTATGAAGTTCGTCCCTGCGTTGGTTGATGGTGATTCTGTAATCGGTGACTCTTACGCGATAGCATTGGCAAGTATCGAGATTTTGTGTTTATTCTCAGTATTGGTTATCGCTTGAATCACTTGTTCCTTTGTGGCTATGCAGTATTTGGAGGACAAGTACCCAGAGCCTCCTCTTCTACCTCACGACCTTCAAAAGAAGGCTTTGAATCACCAGGTAATGATAGGTTCTGCAACCCCCTTTTTTTCATGATTGCGACCACATATTGTTGAAGGTGACATGACTGCTCAAACTAGCTGGTGGAAATTCAGGACAGAACATTGTTAATGTGAGGATAAAATAATAATTTGGCATGCAGACGAACATAATGAAGTGGCATGTTATATAGTGGGCGTACCTAGTGCAGAGAGCTCCCGCTCTGTGCGGGGTCTGGGGAAGGGTGTTAGTGGCAAGCCTTACCCTCGCCTGTGCAATGCGAGGAGACCGCGACTCGAACCCGGGACCTTCCGGTCACATGCGGTAAGACTCTACCGCTTGCACCAGGCCCGCCCTTCCGGCATGTTATATAGTAATTATGCAATTTGTTTACGAGTTGCTTTTTTGGGGTGTTTCATGCCTTTCCGAAAGACTTGGCTTCTTTTATACTCCAATCCAGACTTATGGAAATACTGCACCCTTCCATAGGCAGACTAATCTTAGGAGGTGATGCCACTAAATAAGTAGCACAACAAAGGGGGCAAAAGGGGAATAATTCAGTTGCTTAATTCAATTGCAGGTATGGATAAATCAGTAAATATGGTTCATATTGAGCCTACATGTGGGGTTAGTCCACATGCTAGTGATGCAATGGAGCCATGGTACATTGTTTTTCTCTCACAACAAATCAACGAAAGGTACTTTTCAGCCTGGCTTTTCAGCAAAGCGAACAGGGCCAAGTGATATGACTGTTGGTGCTGAGTGTGCGGAAATAGAAAACATGACATTTTTAGTTCCGAATGCGTATAATATCATGAATTTTCATTATGGCCTGTGCTGCCTGCACATGTACAGAATGGATACGGACTCAACAGACAATGTAAGCAGCTAAGGGATAAAGAGTATAAATGCTAGAGATAAAGCACAGGTAAAACAATTACAGCTGGAGTTATTGGAGTCCATGCATGCTTGTGCAACTCCTTCAGGTTTTCCACATGGCAAGGCTGTTGTCAGGCAGCACACAGGCTCCTACAGCACAGGACACAATGAAATTCAAGTACTCCCTCCGTTCCAAAAAGAATGCAATTCTGATTCAAAGCTAGAATTGCATTCTTTTTGGGACTGAGGGAGTACATGATATTATATGCATTCAAAACTAATTGTGTTCCTGTTCTTTATTCCCACAGCTCAGCATCAACAGTCATGCCACATTCAAACAGGCATTTTCATATACCACTCATTTCCTTTTGGTTAAGATTGTCCATTACCATTAGAATGGATTGCAAAGTACCATCCATTGCATGACTAGCGTGCAGCACAAACCCATATAGTTTAGCAAGGTGCGAAGGTCTAACCAGAGTCTGGAATAGCAAAGTGGTGTATGTTTTTTTTTTCTTGACCACCAATTCATCATGCTTAACATGAACTTTTCTATCTTTCTATGGCAGATTGCAGGCATTGTAGCTTCTGGTATTCAGCCTTTCCATAACCGCACAGTGTTGGTAAGTATACTGTACCTTATTTCTTGCCATATCCATATGTGATTATTCGTATAGAAATAGATTGATCTGCGCACCTTAGTCGAGTTTTATAGTGAAATAGGATTCCCAGTTCCCCGCCTGCATTGTGCAATTATACAATTTCTTTGCTGCAGATTGATTCCGTGTTGAGACAACTTGTTTGTAAAATATACTGTACAGCTTGTTTAAAGAATAAAATCTACTTTTTAAAAGAAAAAAAGGACAATTCCGGCCTCTGCAGCTGCACACAGCCATTTTTTACAAAAGTTTCAGCTCAATCGCTGATGAGTAAAATAGGGGAAAGAGCACACTCAATGACTCAAATAGAAGAAAATCAAATGTAATGGGGACTTTATTTGATCCATTGCTTGCATATTTGCAGAGGTTAATTGACCAAAAGGTTGGTGCAGGGGAGAGTGTCTTGTGGACTCAACAACAAACCGAGAGAGGTCTCACAGGTTGTTTAACAAACATAACCGTCCTTTACTGATTGAAGTAACTGTTAGAAACGATAGGCAATATAAATGACGAAGAACAGTAGATCAAACACAGGGGACACGAGATTTTAACGTGGAAAACCCTTCCAAGGAAGAAGGGAAAAGACCACGGGCATCAGCAAATCTTCACTATATCGGGTGATGTTACAAACGTCGGGGATTTACAACTTTTCTTATCCCAAGACGAGCCAAAGGGCCTCTAGTCCAACTGGTTAGAGCGTCCCGGCGGCACTCCTCAGGTCCTGGGTTCGACTCCCCGTGGGAGCGAATTTCAGGCTGGGGTTAAAAAAATCACCTCGTCTGTCCCACGCCAAAGCACAGGTCTAAGGACCGGCCCGTTCTCACAGGGTGACAGTGCCGCTGTGTAAGGGTGGGGCAGGGGTTCGGGGGTTTTCTGGGCCTGCATGAGAAGGTCTTCTTCTTAATGCAATGCCTGGGGGTGGTCATACCATCGCAGGTCCAGTTTTTATCCCAAGACGACGGCGACGGGCCTCGCTTCGCTCCGGCAGAAGTTAGCCTTTATCTTGTACATAACTGAATTTGGATCACAACTCAACAGTAACTACTACTTTTGCTGCATTACTTTAATCAAGCAAATTTGGCTTCAAGAAAATATTGCTTGCCTTGCAATTCTGTTGTACTATGTCATTATAGAAATACACTCATAGTTCTCTTAGTTTAGTTACTGAATATATTGTTGCTTAACATTCTTTTTGTTTAATCCATATCGCTTTTGTGCATGTTTACTATTTTGTAACGTGCTCATTTTCCCTAATGGTTTAGCTATTGAGAACCTAATACAGCTAAAAGGCCGTGCTGGGAAGTATGCAACAGGAGATGAAGTCCAACTGGTATGTTTGCTCCCTAGATACTCCATTTGTCACCTTTTTTTTAGAATGGGTTCTTTTCCCATTGTAGTGAACTTTCCTTTGTAGCTGTTCTGGAGTGAAGTGGTATCATATTAATTTAATGGTTTAACCTAGTGTTCTTTTGGCAATCAAGTACTCACTGGTGATGTGTGTGTGAAGGAAAAAACAACAGAATTTTTTTAAAAAAATGAAGAGGCGTCAGCAGTTTTGCTCTCTCAAGACAAGTAAAATTTTTATGGTTTTCTGAAAGTTTAAGATGACAGTGTTATTCCATGCTTATTCTAAAGCAGAGGATATGTGATTATGGGCTATTAACTCAAAATGAACATAAGGATAAGTTTTTTTAGAACCCATTATGCGTGTTTTGGTACTTTTGTACAGTTGTAGTCTCTGAAACTATAAAATTCCTAGTAGAACAGCAATGCATTATGATACATATTCCTGGTATTCCTGCAGAATTAAAACGAGAATTTGTTCTTTTGTGCCAATAAACCCGGTATTTGTCAACTCGCCTTTCTGTCTGTTATACGTTTGTTTACAAATACTGGATTTATTGCCAATAGAGCCCGCTACCAGTTGATTCAATTGTTTTTTTTATTTCTTCTTCACGTGCAGGCAGATGTGTTCCTTGCACCCCAGATCTGTGGAGCCATTGGAGTCAATCAAATTGACATGGTACCGCTTTCCTCTTGCTATACAAATGTAAATCATTGTCTCCATTTTTTCAATCAAAGAACTGCTAATGAAACGTGCCTATTTTCCGCAGTCAAATTACCCCACGCTTGCTAGGCTTCACTCGGAGTACATGGCACACCCTGCATTTGTAGCAGCGCTCCCTGGCAGGCAACCAGACGCCCCTTCCTCTTCCTAGGAACTGCACGCTGTTTGCTCCGTTGTCGTCCCAGTGTAC